GTTGGTTGTTACAGTCAATATTGGTTACACTAGTGTGGACGTTGGCCTACATCGCTCGAAGGAGTAGTGTAAGTTAGCAGGAGGTACCTCTCAAACTTCTTCCCTGTCGAGGATGAGATTTTACAACAAGAACGTCTCTTCGTCAGTCTTCAGGGCATGCTCAGTTACAGCAGAGGTATTCGAGGCCGACAGCCTCCGTTCCGTGAGCCTTTGGGGCTCTTTGGTCCGAGTGCCAGAATATCTCCCTGATCTCGCACTGAATGCCCCTCCTCTGCATTAGAAGGGAAGAATGTTGGTGTTCCACTTTCATATTAGTGCAATCACTGATGGCAATTGATGGAAATCATAGTCTTATTAACGAGATATCTAACCACACCCAGCCTAGGATGGAGGGGGTTCGAAAGCTCTCTACTAATCTGTTTGTGTTGCCTTCCGCCACATCACATTTTAAACTGAAACCTCCAGTTTCATGTGTATACCAATACATCTAGCATGGACTTCCCATTGGTGTCCGCTTCATGGTTAACTTGATCGTCGGATTTGAGTTGTTGATAAGGTAAGATACCAACTGAAACAAGAGATCCTATGGCTGATCCGTCTTGTTGGAATATGTCTCCTGTATAATAGGTAAGACATACCTCCAGTATTCTCGTAACCTGATCAGCTGTCATGTTTGTTCTGTGTGCTTCCAGTGGGGATCGAACCCGCGATCCCAGACTTTCTAGTCGGACGCTCTAGCACTAAACTGAAATTGTTTCTAAAGCGAAGCTAGAAGGCGACCATAATCCTTTGTACAATTAAAATCTTCTACACATTCCAAGTTTTGTTACAATCAGGTCTTACTCGGATGACATATTGCCTGCCTCCCCGGGACATCAGTGAACAGTGTACTCATGTCGTATGAGACAAAGTCCTCATTAGGGCCAGCTTAAAAAGGGTGTCGTGCATGTAATGGTGTTTATGCCCTACGAATGGACGTAGGATGCGAGCAAGAACCTTCGCCACTTCATAGTACTTCATTGAAAGGTCGGAGGAGATGCCACTTTTCTTAACAAAATCTTAAATATGAACTCTTCCCACACATGGGGTAATATGTTTCTGTTTTGTTGTCCAACACATCCTGTTTCTATGAAATGCACATGTAAGATTGTTCTTCTGTTTGGTGTTTGCAAGTTATTCCAGTAGAACCCTCGCTTTCCGTTTATATTCTGTGGTATTGGGAATCCCCGTGGCCCTGTCTGGGGAATGTTGCTGGTCGTTAGATTTACGATCTTACGCTTATAACAGACTCCTTGCCCAGGCGTGAACACTTCCTCCACCTGTAAGATGAGGTTGACGACGGAGCGTTATCCCGGTGACACTGTGAAACCACGAATCATTCCCTGTCCATCAAGTTCCCAACTAAACTTTTCTTCTCGTTGTTTTCCTCTGGCACATCATCCGAACCCGATTTTGCTTTGTTATACGTTTACCTGTTTTAGTGTATCGAACTTAGCAAGATGACGGACTTTTGTTTTGAAATGCGTCTCGCGCTGTGCAATATAGACATAGGCGTGACAAAGTTGAAAAGTCGCTAGGAAACCGCGACTCTAACTTATCAGAGTAAGGAGAAAACTCACAGAGCATGTATATTATTTTTAAAGTCGTCGCATTCTCTGCTCTTTCCAATATCTTCTCAATGTTGAGTTCTTTGTGTACGGCTTTAAGTTTTACAATGTAAGATATATTTTCTGCAACAGTAACACAGACCATTTGAACTACGTCTTGACCTTTTGTTTTTCCTTCTTAATAACTGCATTTATCTTTGCTTTTACCAACGTGGTGCGGCTATATTGGGATGGAATTTAGTTTAAATATCTTGTTAAAAACCTTTGCTGATCACCCATACGACAGCCTCATATACTGTATTAAGGTTGTGTTGTTCATGAGCTTGCATTTGGTTATACCAGCTGTGAAATGTAAAACAAATCCTGTCACTCTAGACTGATTTATAGAATGTCTTTTATCTTGACTAGCGATTGTATACTGACTTTCATATCGAGCTATGCTCGTACATTCCAAAATGTGCCTGTCCTTCAAATGTGACCTATATGACCATTCGAGAACGTTAGGTTCAGACCTTTTCCTTAACAGTTGAATAAGAATGTCGAAAGAATTCACTCAACTGGCGAAGAACATACCCAGACTTCCACTCAATTTACTACAGCAATACCATATCCCTGCGGCTCCACTCAACTAACCCAGGGACTGAGTTTTTAAAACACAATAACACTAGTTTGAAGTATATAGTTAAAACAGAGCATCGTTTTTTCGTCAGATCATTATTTATTTCACAACAATACATTTCCTTCTATTCTATCAATTACGAAAATAAACTTACTAACGTTGGTAAAGGAAATAACAATTCGTTGCCCACTCGTATCGGTAATTTGCCAAATAGTGACATGAAATGCATTTATGCTCAAAGGTGACCAACGAAAGGACTTGTAGGTATGTACTCTCTTTAGTATGTACTGGACTGTATGTTAGATTTTATCGCTTTTACTGCCAAACGTTGGCCGTAGCCTTTCCCTGTACAGCACATGTATAATGTTAATTATAAACCGCTATGATATACAATACATTTAGTATATACAAATGAAGAACGGAAATCTGGTCCGTGTGATCCATTCATTATAGAATAATACAAACACCAATGAAATGCAATGTTACTTCTTCAACCATTATAATAAATCCAGTTGTATGCTTTATGCATATTATATGAAGTCCATCAACAGAACGACTTGTCGATGACGCGCTATTATACTCGCCACTTCATTGAAACATCTTATCATCACAAAATACAGATTGTTACAAGAAACTGAGTCTTCAGGATGATATCTTCGAGTGAAAAGTTATCCGCATTGTCATATTTGAGACGCTCGTGACTTAAAGTTGGTAAATAGCACTAAATTATAATATCCTTAATAAATCAAGTGGTAAAGTTGCTTAACGGAGAAACCAGATTTCATTTCAGTAAAAACTTCGATTTATTGAAGTTGTTGTTTGGTCACCATGTCCTGGGCAATTATACCAATGCCGTCGAAGAAGAGAAGCAGTCCGAGTACCAGACACAGTATAGTGACGCCTACGTAGCCAGCCGCCTGGGCCGACGGCCGGTCGTCCGTGGCCGACGTCAGAGAGCGCATGTGCGAACTGGTATTTCTCACGTCCACTGTCATCTCTTTGGCCAACTTCTCCATCTTAGCCTTTAAGACAGGGTCGTTTTCCAGAGCGTTCTCCAGATTGGAACAAGAGCAATCACATGACTTCATCTGACTGAGAACACACTCAACTATAAATAAAAAAAACACCAATATACTTAATAAATAGACATGTGCATTTGTATATTGCAGACAGACATACGTTTTTCTATCACTGACATAGCAAAACTGTATAGCATGACGGTTCGTTGTATAAAATATAAGTGGTTTTCGTGGAGGCTACGGAACCACGAACATAAATACAACAAATGTAATTGATATACTTGACTACTCTTTGTTTATATGGAAAAATCACGAAACGATCTAAATAAATGGCTTCAAGTCACGAAAATATACAACATATAATCAATGATATTATGTGCTTGGAGGAGGCGTCTCCTCCCACACCTATTGGTTGTTTAAGAGGCGTTTCTAATTCCTTTCAACATTTTACGCAACAAATCCACATAAATGTTTTTGATTTCTAGTCAATGAAATATTGTTTTCATTTTTTTTTTATCTTGAGTGGCAGTTCATATAGATCGATACCATTTCCATTCTGCTTTATCATAACGAGAACATACCTACTTTACATCAAACGATTGTTAAATGTGTTGTTGTGTGGCAGTTATACAAGCTTTTGTTTGTAGCTCACCTACATTCATCAGTCCAATGCAAACAACAACCACATGAAATACACTCCTTATATAACAATGCAACCTACATATTCTTTTACTTTAATTCTGTATGTTCAAAAATAATCAATTAATATTCCACCACAAAGTCTTTGCAGTATCAGAATAGCAATGGAGGCACTTAAGCCGCTTTAATCGATTAATCTCTTGCTGTGTATCTCGCGTTTAAACACTGATGTTATTTAATTATATTACCAGTTCTAAAATAAGTTACTGAAAAAGTAAGGTAAAATTAAACGATTGAAGATCCATAATTTCCGGTAGAAGTAATGGCTGCCGATAGGTAGCATTGTGTGACGATTCCAAAACTGACAGATATCGGCATGTAATGGAGGTAACATACAAACAACATATGAAGTACCAATTCTTGGGTTAAGATAGAATGACATTTCCTGTTTTGCTTCGTGGGTGAATTTATTTAAATTTCAGGTCGTGAAGAAGGAGCAAAATATTCATAAACCATAAAACAGTGATCAAGATATTCATAAACCATAAAACAGTGATCAGTATTTGAATTATTTAACACCTCAGCTAAGGTTTCGTGAAAACAGACAGGATTGATATCGCGTCACACATGTACTTTTTCGGATGTTAAAAGAAATGGCTCATTGAAGCAAATTTAACCGAAAATATTAATATGACCACATATCGACAAGATTCGTTTGAATGGAAGTGATTAGTGTGCACAATCGTATTGCTTGGAAACAATATGGCTTCATTGTAAAGAAATTGTTTTTGATGATTCCTTTACTTTAAATATTTCCAAGTATAAAATGTTGCTAATCGGGTCTTTGCATAAATGTTCTATTTATATTTTCACTGGATTATTATCATCATGATAGGAAATCATATGTTTTTTTTTTTTAAATGAAAACATGTCGTAAGTCCAAAAGTAAGTTATTGTTATTACTTACATCCGATAACCACAGTCAGGATCAGGAACAGTAACGATACCTGCGCCATTTTGTTTCCTCCAAAGAGTCTCCAGTTTTCAGCGGAAAAGTGTGACCAATATTCCTTTCCAGCTCAAAGCAGACTGAAACCGACAATCGTAAGCCTATCAAGTTTTAGAATCTACCAGGTATTCGAAATCGGCACAAATTGATTTTGCTTTTCACAAAGAAGTGGGACCAAGGCCTACTTTGTTTACTCAATATCAACATGAATGACTGTTTATCGACAATCAACACACACTTAGACAAAAATACGCTTTGTTTAATAACAACACTGAATACGCTATTCTATTTATTAATTACAATGTAAAACACCGCTTTATTGATATACCCGTATACATCCACCGTACGACACTTAAGGTCGGCTATAATTCTAATACAGGACGTATAACACATATTCTATAGTTAATGATTTATTACACGTTTCTTGGAATTTCTAATTATATGTTTCATGCCATTTTAAATAGAAGTGCCTTTCCGTGTATTCATTAAAGGTTTTAATTATATGTATTCAATGGATTTTCTGAAGTTTTCGCAACTATATAAATGTTGTATAATATTGACTGATCACATAATTTAGGCCAAATATCTTTCCTAACTACTTTTTCTTTTAGGTGTCACTAGGTACTTTTATTCATGTGACCTCAATGTAGTTAGGACGATAAAACACAAACAACTCAATAAAGTGTCATATATAAAAGTACATTATTTGGAATTGTTTTTGGATCAAATAAGAAAATCGATTTGTATGCTTTGTGATAAAATTTGCGTCAAAACTGAAGCAGTACAAGTTATACGTATTGTGCATGACAATATCTAAGCGCTTGATCAGTCTAACTTACTTCATTCTTTGCGTGTGCCGGTAACAATAGATTAAAACTTAGTCCGTGGCGAAAGACGTATTACATGTGAACGAACTTGAATTACCTTTAAGTCCCTTATAAGAAAACTTGCTTTAAGGTTGTTTCTTTATTTATTTTGATTGTCATAAATTTCGTGAGTTGATTGTTTTTTT